CCCCCCCCCAGCCCAGCCCAGCCCGCGCGAAGAGCCCGGCGGGCCCACCTTGGGCAGCTCGCGGAGCTGGTTGGCGTCGAGCAGCAGCTCCTCCAGCGAGCGGCTGTAGCGGTAGACGTCGTCGGGCACGGCCTGCAGCGAGCAGTGCCGCCGGTCCAGCGTCTCCACCTGCCGGTTGCAGCGCCACAGCGGCGGCATACAGCGCAGCATCCTCGGCGCCGGGGCGGGCGGGCGGGCGCACACCGGGCCGCGCGGGCTCAGCGGCCAAGCCGGCGGCGCGGCATCCCGGCGGCAGGTCTCCTCCTCGCCATCCGCCGCGAGGCACTCTGGGACGGCGCCGCCCCGCCGCGGAGGACTACAGCTCCCAGAGCGCCCGGCCGGAACCATAGACCGCACGGCCTAGCGCGTTCCGCCGTCTGCGCAGGCTTCGGGGCCGCTCCTTCCTCGCCTCTCTGTGCCCCGCCTGGCTCTTCCTGCGGCCCAAGGCGGCGCCCCCACTCTCCGGAAGAAGCGGGTCCCCGGAGGCCGATCCGGTTCAGCCCTCCGCGGAAGGAGGTTGCCGGCTCCGGGCCCTTCCAACGCCGTGTGGCCACCAGATACGCTCGAAAGAGGCGGCGGCGGTGCCGCGAGTGGCTGGCGCAATTCCGAGATGGCCCCCTTCAAGGGCCGCCCCGCGCGGAGCGCACGGCAGTAGTCCAGCCGGGAGGACGGGCCGAGCTGCACCGGCAGGATCGCCAAGCCGGCCCCGGGGAGACAGCCCCCCCCCCGTCCTCAGACCGAGGGCGGAGCCGGCTCTTCCCTGTGCAGGCCTGAAACTACAGCTGGACGCTGCTGTCCGCGCCCGGCACTGGCCGTAGGCGCCCTGGGCTGCCGGTCCTCTCCCGGCGGCCTCCGTGAATGGTGCAGCGGAGGAGGGGCAGGAACCCGGAGCCCTCCCGACCCCTGGCGCTTGATCTATTCCCCCCCCCCCCCCCCAAGACGATGGGAACCAGCCGGAGGGAGGGAGGCAGCCCTGCAAAATACCGCCCTTTTTAACCCCCCAGCCCTGGCCGAGGCAGCCCAGGTGGTCGAACCTTCCCAGAGGCCTCCCTCTGCAGCACCACCCGCCCTCTTTCCCTCCCGCGCCTCAGCCTGGGAGGGGAAAAAGGGGGGCGGGACGACAAGGGATCCCCAGGATCCTCTGAGCGATGCTCCCCCAAAAGGGAAGGGGGGAGCCCAGACCGACACTACCTAATGGGGTCGAGTCCAAGGATGGGCTCTGGAGAAGCGGACGTGTCCCTCCCAAGGAAGAGGCTCCTCTGTTTCTGGGCTTCCCCACTGCTGGGATCACCTCCTCCTCCAAACTGGACCCTGCAGGAAATGTGGCTGGAGGCTCTCCTTGTGTTTTGTGTAGTTGGGGAAAAAAGGGTATGGTGGTTCAGACATGGAGCGTGTCAGCTGGAAAGCGGCGGCCCAGCACTGCACCATGGGGTGAGCTCTCCTTACTTGCCCCAACGCCTGCTCCCCCAGCAGTTCCAAATGTGAGTTGGTAAACAGGTAGCACTTCAGCGGGAAGGCATGTACTCATGAGTACAACTTTAGAAATTGTCTTTGGACAAGGCTGGCTCCCTCGGCTAAGAAATGGAGATGAGCACTGGCCCCCAAGAGTCAGACATGGCAAACCCTTTACCTTTAGCGTGGAAGAGACATTTAAGCAAAGAGGTCATGTACTGGCTTTCTTGTCTATGGGGAGACTCTCTGTCATCCAGGCCAGCTGAAGAAGCTTCTTGGATGAGAAGTGAAACGTCTTCAAAAGAAAAACCAGAAAGTCCAGTTGCCTCTTTTTTTTTCTTTTTTTTTTTTAAAAAAAGCACTTTTGGGACTTACTGGTTTTCTTGTTAAAACTGGTGTTTTTCAATTAGTTGGAATTAACAAGGGAGGCCAAGTGAAATTGCAGCAACTGTTCTGGATCTGGTGCCTAATAATAAATTGCCTGGGAATGGCTACCTGCCCCAACCTGCATTCACATTTTGCCACTGTGGAGGTAATATTCCTGCACATACCATGGACAACGGACAACAGAAGTATTTTCTTCCTGGCATCTTTACCGACAACTATGTGTACAACACAGGGTAATGCTGGTCCAAAAATATTCCAGAAAACATTGGGGAAAATGAAAGAGAAGTCTTTGTGAAAGAGTTCATGTGGAGAGGTCACTATTATCAAATCTCTCCTGGTCATACACTTCAGCCACAACCTTCCTGCCCGCAAACCAGCGGCCATTCAGTGCCTGGATGGCTTTGCAAGTCTCTGAGGCCATGGAGAATTCCACAAAGATCTTGACAATGATCTCCGCATCTTCTTCCTCACCCTGCTTCTCTTGATAGATGATGACTCTGTTGACAGCCCCAAATTTGCCACACTCCTCTGTTACTTCTCCTTCCAAGTCATCATCAATGTCCTTGGGGTCCACCATGTTCCGCAAAACCATGACTGTTGACTGTGTGAAGAAAAAAGCAGGGAAACGTCACCTCCCAGGACTCAAGGCATTTCTTCATTTCGCCGCCCCCCCCCCCCCCAATCACTGAGATCGGATGCCGCCCACCGTCCTTCCACAACCGGCTCAGTTTGGAGGCTAACCCTAGGCAGCCCTTCCACCAGCACCGCTGAAGAACTCGCCTCTTGTTTCCGGAGAAGCTTCTGCATCACCATGTGGCGGGCGCTGCTGCCAGAGATGCTCATGTGCTCCTGTTCACTGAGCATCTCTGGCCTTTCAGATTCTTGGAAAACTTCCTCCTCCTCCTTCTCCTTCTTGGCTTCTAGCAGGCCTAGCGTTGGGGGACTGGCCAAGATGGGGTTCACCACACCCACCTGGGGAATAGTGACAGGAATAGGTGGGCGAGCTGGTGTGACACCTGGAGGAAAAACACATTTCGAAGTACGTGAAAAGAACTAGCCATATGCCCTCGTGCTCCAGACCCAAAGCTAAACAGAATATCCAATGCACCTCAGGCAAGGATGGTCAATACACGAGATCAACTCGGGTTTAGAGAAACGGGCACTCTCTCAACTCACAAGCACCTTAGCTTAGTTGTATCAACAAGGAGCGAAAATCTCAGAAGCTCAAGACCCCTCAACCCATCCTTCCACTCCACAGAAGAGAAACAGAAAGAGGAGGAAGAAAAGCAGCCCTCGAGTCGCAACCGTAAGGGAGCTTGCCTGTTACAATCATCGGTCATAAAACGGATCAGTCACTTTTTGCAGCAGTTATTAAATCTACTGTTCATGGTGATGTGGTTTTGCTGAAAACCAGAAGTGGGCAAAACCCTCATAAAATACAGTCGTGTGACCACAGGACGCTGCAGATAGCCATACATGCAACCCCCAAAGGGCGACCACGTGATCGCTGGGGGTGGGTGGGTGGGTGGGTGGGAGGGAGCCACCATCCGAACTCAGGAGGACACCTGTGGGGCTAGCCCCAGCAGAGCCACAGAGGGGAAGGGGAAGAGGCACACACCAGCACTCCACCACCACTAGTGGGGCCAATTGCTTCTTCGTGAGAAAGGTTTGTAAAGCTAGGATCATTCAAATTGCTAAAGAAAATACTAGCTAGAGAATTTGTCAAAGGCTTTTGAGAGAGACCCTTCTCCGATGCTCTTGAGCCAAGAGCCCACCGGATACAGAAGAGGCCAATCAAAAGCCAGGAGAGGAGGACAAGAGGTTTTACGGTTCCCCCAAGAGTGGCGACCCTCTTTCCCACCTGGCCAGACAGGAGCCCCAAAAGGAGGTTCCCACGCAGAGGGGCCTCCTGGCTAAGAGGACCAACTGGCCCAAAGCCTTCCCCCTCCCCAGTGCGCCCACCTCCAGGCTTCTCCATAAACACCACGAGGGTCTCCTCACTGCCAAAACTAAAACACTCGCCAATCCAGCATGCTCCATAGGGCAGGGCTACAGAGCTCGACCGCCTAACTCACCCTGCTTCCCTGGAGTGTAAAGCACCATGCCATCAACCCACCCGGCCTAGGTGGCACCAACTGGCAGCCCTTTCGTTCCTATGGAAACTCCTCAAGGCCAGACTACTATTTCTCCAAGGAGGATGCCACTGAGGAATGCAACCTCTCCAAGGAGGATCCCTTCTTTTGCTTTGCTTCACAGGCACAAGGCGGCACCCTCCTACCCGATGGCTGGGCCAAAGGCAGAGACCCCCACGCAGGGCAGCTCCCTCCCTCGTCCCAGGCCAGGCAGCAAGAGGCGGGCGTTTCAGCTGCCCAGCCACTCACCCGTGATGACGCCTGGAGCTTGAGCTGCCATCACAGCCTGCGGTAAGGCCCCCAGGGGCTGTGCTAGGGTCAGGGCTGGGGTCACCAGTCCGGGGGTGGCTAATGTGCTAAGGACAGCAGCACCTGCCACTCCTGCCACAGCTTCCTACAAGAGAAAATTCAGCTCTGCTACGGCCTCTGCAGCCACAGGGTCCAAGCGAGAAAGCCCACAGCCAGGAGCTCCCGAAGGGAGTCGGGGGAGGGGCACATCTTTTGGAGGTAAACAGCAATCACCTTCTGTGGGCCGATTAAGGGGGGAGGGGCACCTCAGGCCAGGATTACCCTTTCCTCCTTGCCTGATGGTCTTGCCCAGCCCCAGAGACATCAGCCGGGCTCAACCGAGCCATGGCAGCAGAGGGAGGAGGGGCGGGCTTCCCTGGACAGGAGCCTGCAGAGCAGCTACACAAATTGAGCCCCTAGGAACCCCCCCCCCCGCCCCGCCAGAGCTGGCAGAGGAAAAAGAATGCAGGCTACCCTCAAGAGCAGGAAGGCCAATCCAGCCTCAAGCCCCCTCCTTCCCCAAGCCCTTGCTGCTTACCTGAGCGGTGATTTTCGCCGTGGCAGCGGCTGCGGCTACGGCCGCTGCAGGGGGCAGGCCTCCCGGGGTGGCCGGGGTCAGCAGAGGCATGGGCGGAGTGACCGCTTTGCCCACACGGAGATACTGGCCCCCCAAGTCGAAGAGGTTCATGGAGGAGACGGCGTCCTGCGAGGACTGGGCCTTCTCATATTCTGAGTGGGCAGAAAGAGCGACATGGAGCCCTGGCCGCTGGCTCTGGGCCCTCAGCAGCAGGGCAGCCAGCCCCGGGGCTCACCGATGAAGCCGTAGCCCTTGTGCTTCCCCGTGGTGGGGTCCCGGGCCAACGTACAGGACTTGATCTTCCCAAAGGCCTCAAAGACACTCTTGATGTCGTCGTCAGAGAGGTCCTGGTGCACCGAGGCCACGTAAATGCGGTTGAAGGCTCGAGCCTCCTCTGCCAGCTGGTCGATGATGGGCTGCGCTTGGCCAATGTTGCTGGGCCTCCCCACCTGCAGGAAGGCGACCCGTGAGGGCCCCTGGGCACCGCCGGGCCCCCCAGAGCACCAGCTTCTCAACCGCCTGCCAAGGGGGCACTTGGCCTAGTCAATGTGCTCAGATAAGGGGGGGGGGGGGGAGGCTAGCCTGTTTCTACCAGCCCAACCGACATTCTGTAAACCACTATTCAGCAAACTATGGGTTAACATGTTCCCACATCCAGACTAATTTTACTCTTCCCAGGGTTAGGGGGGCAGGTTGGGATGAGAGAGTGTCAGCGGCCAGCGAGGGGAACCTGGACCCCCTCTGCTGCAGCCCAGCCCCTCCCATCTCACGAACCCTGGTGTGACAACAGACCAGGGAGGTGGGGAACCTGACCCGCTCTTGTATTAAGCCAGTCACTGCATTCAGTTCTGCTTCGTTGTTCCCACTGGGCACCCCGCATCATGGGAACGCAGCAAGGAAGTTTTGTTAGGCTGGCTTTGGAAGCCCTCCTCGGGGTTTCTGGCCACAAAGCAAGTTGCAAGCGGCAGGCAGGCAGACTAGGGGTTCCCCATTGGCAGTCCAGGGGGCCATGGATGGTGTTGGGCAAAGCCCTCGGCCTGCTTCTAAATAAGCCCTTGCTGAAACCTTAGCCCTGCTGGAGAGATGGCAGGAGCTGAGGCAGGCGGGCAGGCAGGCGGCATGGCAGGGTGCAAAGACAGGCGTGTGTGGCCACCGGTCTCCCTCCATGTACCTTGATGTTCCGCCCTCCGAGCATCACGGAGTTCATCTGCTCCAGGGCCAGTTGAGCAGCTTCAGGGACCTCGTACTCCACAAAGGCAAAGCCCTGGCCGAGAAGGAAAGGAGGCGTGAAGCTCAGGCTTTGCTCCCCCCCCACAACCCCCCTGCCCCCTCCCCCCCGGCCAGAGGCCCCACTCACTTTGTGCTTCATGGTCACGGAATCCCAGGACATGTCGATGCTCTTGATGGGCCCAAAGGGGGCAAAGGCCTGCCGGATGGTGTCCTCTCCCAGCTCATAGTAAATGGAGCCCACATAGACCCGGCACATGATGGCCAGGGCCCGCTGCCGCTGCGCTGCCATCTGTATCGGAGAGAAGGTCTGGCCGGTCAGAGCAGGAGGGAAGCCCAGCTGCTCTCCCCTGCCCCCCCCTCCCCAGGAGGCTCCAGGGTGGCCGGGGGGAGTCTCCCTGAGGAGGAACTAGCCCAGCCCACCCCTCTCCCTCGGGCAGAGGGATCAGCCCTCTGCCGCCCCAAAGGGCCCTTCCCCACGATTCTGCCCCCACACAGCAGGAGATCCAGACCGGGCACCTCGTCTCTGTCTTCCCCTGAGACATCTCCCACCCCAGGACGCTGCCTCTTCTTCTTGGCAGGCGCCTTTGGGAGCAAACAGCCGCCACAATGCCAACAGCTGCCGGGCCAGCTGGTGCAAGGGACCGTCTGACACTGTCCCAAGGAGGTACAGTAGCAGAAGGTGCGCGGTGACCTAGTTCCTCTGCCAAAAGTCTAGGCAGCCTACAATCCAGATGCACCGCTCGGGTTCAGTGGCCGGGCAGCAGCTCCCCTGCCTGGCAGCACAGCCAGGATCAGGACAAGCAGCTGGAGCGCTTTTCTCTGGAGCTGGAAAAAAATACAAGGCTACTCCTTAGAGGCAAATGCCCACCCAGCTGGGGATGATACTGGCTGGCTGGCTGTCCATCAGAGCCAAGAGCGCCTTGGGGGCTTTGCAGCAGTCCCTCCCCACTACAAGGAGGCCCACGAGACTAGGAAATATCCGCTCTCCCTGCTCCCTCTCTGGGGCACGCCTGCCACTCGGTCCCTCCCCAACCCTGGAGAGAACTGCGTTGGGCGGATGCCAGGCAAGGCCTCCAAGCTCAGCCTCCCTTCCAGACAATTCTGGGGGGGGGAGGTCTCGCTGCTCCCCAAGAGGGTGGAGGGGCCCTGGTAGGAAGAGGCTCTCTGCTGCACATGGGGACAGCCAGTGCCACTGGACAAACTCAACGAAGGGCACGCACTCCCAGCGTTCAGGAGCCAGCAGAGCAAAGAGTTAGGGAGAGGGGAAATGGGCATCTACAACGAAGCCCATGGGGGCTGCCTGGCTATTTGGGCTACCTGCTTCCCCCCCCCCCCCCCAGCCCCGACACCGGCAAGCCAGCCGGCCGTCCACCTAGCATCCCAGAACCAGATCCAGGATGAGGGGCTGTACTGAGGTGGGCACCCAGTCGTGCCTCTCTTCCACCTGCCCCACAGAAACTAAGCTAAGCCCGTCCGAGGCTCTGGGTGGCCTAACCCCAGAGGCTGCTCCGATGAGCCGGGCTCTTCAACAGCTCCAAGAGGATCAGCCCAGGCCACAGGAGGAGGAGCTGGGGCCCTGTGCAAGATCCACCACAGCATTAAGGGGGACCTCTGGCTCCTGCCTGGGTGCACCGCCCTGCTGGCCTTCAGGCGGAAGGGCGGGGGCACCTCTCCCCCCGGGAGAGGGATGGGCCTGCTCCTGCTGCTTTGGCCCCCTTCGTACGCTGGCCCGGGCCAAGGCTCCAAAAGCGAGGGACCAGTGCCCTGGCAGGCAGGCCCCGTGGCCACCATCTTTCTGCCCCAGTACCAGCCAGCGGCCCCTCTTCCTAGCACCCTTCCACTCGTCTAGGAGAGCTGGCCGAGCCCCAGACCCCGGCCACCAGCCTCTAGCATCCCGCGCTGGCCCCCTGGTGAGTTACCTTGGCAGTTACTTTGAGGCCAGGACCTCAGCATCCCTAGAAAGGCACTTCTCCCGCTGCTTGAGACTAATGCTTTCTCTTTCTCTCCCTCTCTCTCTCTCTCTCTCTCCCTGCCCCGTGCCTCCAGGGATCCCAGCTGGCCCCAGCCCAAGGTCTTCCCCTGGGAGCTTACACTTGGCCTTGGCTGGCTGGGGGTGGGGTGGGTTATATCCAGAGCAGGGGAGTGGCGGGAGAGGGAGGTCACAGCTACGTCCTCCCCCAGGCTAGGCCCTGACTAAGACCCAGTGCCCAGAAGAAGTGAATGTGTCTATTGACCGATTGTAAAGGTGAGAGAGGATCTCCAAAGCCCATTGTCACTGCTGCCATCTGAAAGACAGTAAAGACAGAGTTCAGTCTGTGGGAGCTGAGCACACCACCACGGGGTTTGTCAAAACTCAAGCGGGAGAAAGAGGCCTCACCTGCCTGCCTGCCTCTGCCTCCTCCTCCTCCTCACTGAACACCCCCGGCCAACCCTGGGCAGCCAAGGCAGGGAGGTCCAGGACAGTCTCCAGCCCTCAGCAGACCCCTAACTACAGGGACAGCCCCCCACACCCACAGCAGCCAGAGCTGCCCCAAGGGCTTTGGTCTCCCCCCCCCAACTCCTGGGGAAGAGGGGCTCGGAGAGCAGCTGGCAGCCCCCCTCCCCTGCAAGACACTCCCTGCCCCTCCCTGCCTGAGTGAGGCCGATTGCTGCGTTCCACACCAGCTCCCCCCGCCATTCTCTCTCTCGTTCTCTCTCTCTCGTTCTCTCTCTCTCTCTCTCTCTCTCTCTCTCTCTCTCTCGTTCTCTCTCCCTCCAGGCAGCTAAGCTTCCCTCCAAGGTGGCTGTGTCTAGGCCTGGAAGGTCATGACAGGCCAAAGGCAGCACTCCAGGCAGATCTGGGGACTGGCAGTGGCTCTAAGTGTGTAAGGGGCTGCCCTGGGGAGGGGGGAGGGGAGGAGGGAGGCGAGGGCATGTCAAAACAAGGGCGCCCTGGCAGGGCCTCACCTGGAGGTTGGTGAGCTGCTGCTGCTGGTGGGCAATCGTCTGCTTCACCAAGACACTTTTGATGCTCTGCTCCATCGCGTATTTTTTGGCCTGGCAGGAGAGAGGAGAGAAACCAAAGTCACAGAGACCAGCAGCTGGCAAACCTCTGGCCGGAGCACCTAAGACAGACTCAGCTTTCCTCCTCACACCCGCCTCCCCTCTCCCCTCCATCAGCCCCCCCACCAGCTCCCCTATGAGGCCAGGTGGAACGTTTTCTATTACATCATAAAATGCCTTGCGATAATTTTACATCATAAAATGTTTTCTAAAATTTGCCAGATTTCAGTTCCATGGGAGTTATGGGTCCCAGATTTTGGACCCATTGTGTAAGTTAGTCATTTGAGGTCCTACGGGGCACCATTTTTCTCAGTTTTATGGGGATGAGAGTTTTAGAACTGTATACTCCTTAGGCATGTACTATCTTGTTTTCCTCACTGGTGCCATTTTAACTGCTGCTAAGGGAGCCACTCAAAGCTCAATATAAGACAGGCTGCCTTTCTAAGTGCTTTAGAATATAGATAAAGCTAGCTTCCTAACGCTTCCACGGTAAAGGGGACAAGCCTCACCCAGCTGGTCCTCCTGAAGAACAATCCCTGTGCAGGGACCGCTTTCTCCGGAAGGACCCCTGAGGGAACCTCTACAACAAACCTGGGAGCAAGGCTCTGGGACAGCACTGGCCTTCCCCGCAGCACAGGCTGACTGCCCCCCCCGCCCCCCCGAAGCTGAAGCTCTGGTCCAACCTATACACCCCCCCCGCCTGATCGACTCAATGCCCCGAGTAAGCCCAACAGTACCAACAGGAGGGCCATCGGCCTCCTCCTCTTGCATCAGTGCCCGCCAGCTGGTAAAGCAGCAGCACTCTCTTCGCCTCGGGTTACCATGCATCGACCCCAGTTCTGCCATTGAGAGAGGGAGAAGCCCCCCCCCTCACATCATCCCCAATGTCACACGTGCCTCTCCTCCGCACTTACGAAGGACCCACCCTCTTACTTTTCCTAGAGGGAATCGCCCCCTGATAAGGTTGGTTATGTTTCATGCCCCTTCCCCAGGTGTGACGCTGTTTTCTCGAGCAGGAGTGATCACAATCCAAGCACCCGGTCCTTCCTATGGGAGCCGTTTCATTTTCAACACACTTCCTGCTGATTCCATCAGGGAATTTACAACCGTCACACACATGGAACACTTTTACTAGTTCTCTGCTGTGAGTCCAGCATCCTCTGCCTGCCCAGCCCTATTGGACAAGAGGCTAAAGTACTTGGGGCAGGTTTTCCTATGGCGGTCCTCACCCAGGACAGCCCTCCGCCCGTTTTCTAAGAACTGCTAAAGCTGTTTTATTCCAGGGAGGGCTTGGCCCCAGCTACTTTGAGGGACTTGGGGTGTCCATCCTGACTTCTGTTTTGGATTTTAGTCCTATGATGGGACTGGGGTGGGTGGGGAATACATACACACGCAGGCAGAATTTAACTCAACAGCCCTTAGCACAAAGCGATGCACGCTTGCCCTAAAACAGCAACTTCCATGCAGTTACAGATTTGGGCTAAGCCATGTTAATGCCCATTCCTTTGTTCTGCATCTGTTAGCACCTCACTGAATATAGCTGGATGAAACCCCCAAATCTGGTTACAGCCCACTCCTGTGGTGCCTCTCTCTCCGGCGATATGCCTAGGCTGGATGATGACTTTGGCCAATCTGCTCACCTTCTGAAGAGCCTCCTGCTGCTCCGGGGTAAGAGGAGGGAGTCCCAGCTTGGCTGACGTGCTCTGCCCATTTTCCACCTTGACGGTTTCGGTGCCCTGAAATGGGAGAGGTGCTCATGAAAGCCTGCTTGAACAAAGGAGACCTAAGCAGAGAGGGCTGGGAGGCTCAGTTTCACAGAGGGGCAGGGAAACAGGACCAATAGCAGTAAATTCAGAATAATCTGCTTGATATTTCAATTGATAGAGCCATTCCCTGGGTCTCTGCCTCCCAATCTCTTTAGAGACTGATGCCTGTAAAACTTCCTCCAAGCTGAGACCTACGGAAGGCATCAACGGGCATATGGAGCTAACCAGTATCTCCCACAAGATTCCTTCCACTTTCTCCTCCTAGTCTTTAATCAAAACAGCTTTGAAACACCCCAGAGTGGAGACCTCCTCCACTCTGACCAGCGGCTAATAATGAGCTCTTACCACCTATTTAGACCAACTGTATTTAAGTAGCATGCTAATCAGAATTTGGGTGCAGCAGTTCTGAAGACTCTCCTCCTTCAAGTTAGGGGCAACAATCATTCTCTGCTAGTGGTCCGATGCTTTATGCAGCTGTGCAGAATTTCTCAGCAATTATATAAGGGATATCATCCAGATGTTCAGCTATTTCCTACTGATTTAACCCACTAAAAGGAGGAAAAAAGGCAACTACCATCCATTCTGCACTTTTACTTTCTTGACCTATCAGGAAATATACACACTCCTGCAAGGTAACCTGGATCTGTTTCAAGTGAGTAACCACTTTGTCTAGCTTCTGCAGTATCTGACATTTTGTCTTTAACTGTAGCTGGGCATTTTGGGCTCGGAGTTCCTTTTCCCATTAATGGGTGGTGCTGTACTAGAGTGCTGGGCATTTTTAGAATATATCAGATAATAACTCACCCCAAACTAACATATGACCTCTCCTGAGAGTTTAAAGTAACAGTTAAACATGATAAGAGTTAAGGATGAAGTTTTGGGACACTCCATAACAGAGCATCTGGCAAGAATCTGGACTCTTTCCTCTGCTGCTCCCAACAGAAACCATCAGGTAGGAGTGGATCTACCAGAGAAACTCTCAGTCCTCAGATGTGGTTCAGGAGGATGCTGTGATTGGCAGCATCACAATCCATTGGGAGGGTCTCCCTTCATCCGAGTCCTTCCACAGGTCAACCATCAGAGGGACCAATGCCGTTTCTATCCCATGGTCAGGTATGAAACCAAACTATCTCTGGAGCCTTTTGCAACTGCAGCCCCACCTCTTTCTTAACCTTCCCCAAGAAGGGGTCTTTTTGGAACTGCTGGATCAGATTTAGCTCCTTGAGTGAAAGGAACTGCCCCTCTTCCAGGACTTCTGGGGCCTTTTCCACCAGCCAGGTTGTACAGAGCCCCAATCCATAGGTGCTAAAACTGAAAATGCAGGGAACCCATTACAGTTCCTCAAGATTCACATTTTACGATCCCGACCATCTAGGGAACGATGGCAGACAATCCATGGAGTACCAGGGTGAGTTCTTAGTAGAGAATGTTGCGGAGAGAATCATTCGCCTTTGTTGACTTAGCTAGAAAAAGTCTGGAACAGCATCATAACTGTCTTTACCTGGCACGGGTTTCTAAGCAAGTGGGCTCCCGAGCAGTCAACAGGGGTCTTGACCCCTCTCCCACAGGGCTTTGAAGAGGTTGCATCCAAGCACTCGTGAACGCCCCGCGCGGGAACCGGGGGACGTGTGCGTGTGTCGCAATGCCCTTTTGGAAGCCATCCGTGCGACCCTCCCGCACAACCATTCGGGACCCAGCTGCTCTCGGGCGATCCGTCTAATGGGGGGTGGGTGGGTTAGGGAGAAGCTGCCGGACCCCCCAACCACAAGGGGCCCCGGAAGGCGAGAGAAACGGGCCACCTGGGGCCTTTAGAGGGCCCAGAGCCTCCCACTGTCCAAGGGCCGCTGCCCCATCCAGGCCAGCTTCCGGCATCCCCTCGGGGGTCCCTGCGAGGGTTCTTCTCCTGGGGGGGCGGGGGGCGCAACTTCCCCACGGAGCGGGCAGAGGCTCCTCAACTGGCCGACGACGCCCAGCCGTCCGGGGAGGTTCCCGGAGGGGCTGGCTGGCTGGCGGGGGGAAACAACCCGACCAAGATGGCGCGGCCCGTTCCACAAACTGCCTGGCTGACCCGGGCACCCGGGACGACTACGGGGCGCAGCTCCTGCAACCCCGGGGGCGGGGGGTGAACCGGCGCAGGAGGCCGGCCTGCCCGACCGACCGCGGGCGGGAGGAGCGGGGGAGGGGAGGCGCGCGCGGCAGCTGGGAAGTGTAGTCCCGCCCCCCCCTCGCCTCACGCTCCGTCAGCGGCTCAACCGGGGACGCCCCGCATCTCTGTCGCGCGGCTCTCCTCCGCTCCCACCGGCCCGGTGAGACCGCTTACCAGAGAGAGCGCCGCGGTGACGGTGGTGGTCGCCGCAGCCGCCGCCATCTTCGCCGCCGCCTCGAGCTCCAAGCTCC